ATGGATTATTGTATAGTGTTTCAATGCATTGCAATAAACTAATCAATGGTTGCAATACTTCTAAATTACTAACTGTGTACTGTTCGAGGTTCAGTATTCCTTGACTGATCCGATTGAAAATGATTAATATGTTAGGAATATTTTCTATCGTTTCAAGAACCTCGGACGACACCATCAATTGAACGAGATTCATCAAGCTATTTTCAATGAATGGATCGCATATACAATCAAATTTCTCTGTTAACTCGTTTACATTTTTGTCAATAGTGTTGGGCGGAATTTGATACAATGAGCCCTCTTTTAATACTAATAGATATAGATTGTCCGTTTTGAGTGTAAGACAGGAGGCATGCTCCACTCTTTTTATTCCACTATTAATTATTGTTAATAGTGTTTCTTGTCGAGCACGAGAAAGTGCATAAACACCTTGCTCGAATATTCGTAATAATTCCAGCAGTTCGCTTTGATTTACTAAATAGTATTTCATTCGTTCGATTGTTGATTTTACGGAATTATTGTTTAAGAGATTAAGGACAAATGCAACGGGTAATTGAACTTTGTGTTCTTCAAGAAATAGTAGCAGCTGATCATGGTAATACTGTTGAAATAAATACTCATCTTTCATTATCAACTCGTGAAAATAATATGAGTAGACACTCTTCTCACGTAATTGTTCGTAAGCCAGATTTTCCAATGTTATTTGATCTTTTTCTCTAGATAAATTATCACACACCCTATGAATTATTTCGAATTCTGCAGGCGAACAGGGAAAACGCGCATCGAGTACAATTGAAAGGTCGATATATTCATTACCGTACAGATGGTTTGTTTTAATGATATTTTTCACAATTGATTCCAAACAGTGATCCCTGCAAGAAAAATCACTTTCATTCCTTTTTATATTAGATCTAACTCAATGGGTAGTTTCATTCTCCTAGGTATCTAAGGAATCACCGTTCAGAAAGTCAGCCTATCACTGTTTATTTGTTAATTCGATTGCAATATAGAAGAGAAATACTCACCATATTTGTTTGAATAGTGAACGATTAGTGGTTTCATTTGGCTTTGTCATAAATAAATAACTAACGATCATTGCTTGTTTTTCAAAGCTAGAGAATAACAAAAGAAAATAAGTGTCGTAAAAATAGCCAATCGCCGTTTGGAATGCATCATCAAACGAACGACATGTAGCTGCTATACAAGTATTTGTAATCAAATCTAGCCTCCAATCAGTGAAACGTTTTTCATCTTTCATATGTTGAATCAGATAAGCAACCTTGTCTAATATTATATTACGTAATTCTCCATGGCTTTTGTTGTTCGAAAAATACTCTAACAGTTTATTGCGTCTAGTATTGATTTCGTTTTGACGAGCTACATCCGATAAATTATAGCGAAGTTTCGATAAACAACGATCTAGTAGATCGTAAAACGGACAATTAAATAGTTTCTGCTCAATAATAAATTGATAGGAGGGATATTGAAAGATGTCAAACGGAAGCGTTAATAATTTATCTTGAGTGTTTAAATCATTGATCACATCAACATCCCAACCGTTAAATAAAACATCATTTTTCATCGTACTGAGCATATTTCGTTGAAGATGAAGAATTAGGCAAATATTTTTTATTATTTTGTTATCGCTGTACTCGTTAGATATATTGATTATATTATGTTTCAGTAATAATACATGTTTTTGATCATTAACGTAATCTACTCGTATTATTAGCAAAGATGCACACTGCTTTGTAGAGGATTTCAGGTGTTGTTTTATTCTATTAATCAACTCTAATTCAGTCTTAAAATTTGCAAACTTTATTTCTTCGATTTGTGCTTTCAAGTTGTCTGGATAGTTTATTTTATCGTATATTTGTGTGTAAGTGTAGATGATTTGACGACTTTGATTCTTGCAAGAAATTACGCCTTTTAGTACGTCATCAAACGATCTTTTCTTTTTCATGTCGTAAAAACCCTGGATCAGTTGAATGTTTTCTTCGTTTTTACTATCAGTTTTTAATGCTAATAGCAGTGGTAAATCGTATGATGCTGCTCGTACAAGAATTGTTTTACACTTGTTAATGATCTCGTTTTCATCCGAAGTATTTTCGTATGCATCGATAACGAGATTGCAAACATAGTCGCAATTGAAGTTAACGAATAAGTGTGCTAATTCAAGAAAATGTTTTGTAACATTTACGTTTAGTGTTTCTTGTAGCCAAAGCAGTAACTTTTGCGTTGTTGTCCAATGTGTCGATTGCACTAAATCTTTAAACTGCACGATATGTTTCTCGAATCTGTTCAAAAATGGCGGATCAGCTGTCTCAATATCTTTGCTGTTCACTAACACAATACAGTAGAATTTGTCATTGACCAAGCATTTTGGAGCATATAGGGGGCCCAAGGGGATGCGGCAGTATTTTTTTTGACCAGATATAGAGAAGCTCTGATTAAATAAATCATACAATGATGAGTACGATTTGTCCATTTTTCTCATTATCAAGGTTAAAGGTTTCTCCGCGTACAGTATAACGTCCATTAGAATACGATAACCATATGATTCGCTATCAACATCACCTGATATTTGACTTCCAATAAGTGTACGTACATTGTTGAGTTTTTTACCTAAATAACGTTCAACATAATCAGTGAGGCTGTTTGTTTCTGATATCAACATAAGATATCGGCCGCTTCGATCATTCAAACTCTGAGTTAACAGGTCACTAAAATTAGGAGATGGGTAGTATTCAATCGATTCTTCTTGTTTTGTGTACTGACAAAATATTTTCCACAAGAATACTGATCCGTCTATTACACCGTCAAAATTTATTTTTAATTGTTTTCGGATAATTTTCATCTGTAAGTCTAGCATGTTATCATATCTAATATTGGATTCTTGTCGTGCAGAATGATCAAATTCTTTGATGATGCCTTTAATGAGGGAATAAAAATCTCTTAAACCGAAATAATTTTCGCTTTTTTGTAACTTCAATTCGTACGATAATGCAAGATAAGCCTTAGCTAAGTTATTCATGATGTCATCGGGTAACTGCATCTGTTGACGTTTGACCAAACTTGTTTGGATCGTTTTTGCAGTTAATTGTAAATCATCTATCGTAGGGTCTGGACATGCCAAATAGAGAGTACGATTCATCTTCGATGCATCCAGACGCCAGTTTGATATGGCAACGAAACCGTATTTACAGTTCTCGATTTCTAATTCGCTGTGTAGCACTTTAAGTGGATTATGAATAGACAATTCAGCTAAGCCAATTTCATCAAAGATTATTACCGGCAATAATTTTGTAGGAGATTTAGTATCGTTATACTTTTTTGCACGCTCAAAAACTTTCTCAATACTTTCTGATCTGCAGTTTTTCGAACCTTTATAAGCGACGGCGATCAGTTCAGGAAGCTCTTGAAAATAGGGATCATTCGACTTTTTTCCTTTCAAATTTGTGATTACAATTTGAACTGATGATGTCTTGCTGCATCCCGGTTTTCCACAAAGGATGACTGGCAAACGGTTTAATACGCATACAAATATAACGAATATATTATCACATAATGCACGATTTAGTGCGGTACCAGGAGGTAGTTCCATTCGATGAATTAAATCTTTTTGTTCTTCTTGTAACATGTCTTCAATAGCATTTTTTTGTATGTTATTAAATTGCATTGGCTTTTTAATCAAATCAATGTATTCGAGTTTTTCTGCTTTCAAACTTAGACGAAAGTAGTAGCATAATAACAATGCTAAGACGGCAGATCTGAATGTGATATCCTCTACTGATAGTTTGCGTTGTCTATATGAAACTGATTCATAGAACCAGTTATATAGCAAACGATATCGTGCTACATCTCGAAGACTTACACTACTGATATCTTCTGACCGTCTTAGATATTCTTGAGAGATGCATATAGCATCAACAGTCATACGATAGTACGGACTATGTGTGAGTTTATCACATGTTTGAAGAATCGTTTCGATATATTTTCGTTCTGTTACCTCGTCGAGAAATCCATAATCCCAAATGTATTCTATCACTGTTTCTGGAATCGGTTCAACGGTATATAACAAACCTTCACCAATATTTGATTTTAACATTTCATACTGATCTTTTTTTATGCCAATGTTATCATCAAACCGTATTTTACTCGTTTTTTGACGTCTTGGGTTACAGGCTCCAAGAAAGACCATATTTTCTGGTAATCGTTCACCTAACAATGTTCGTTCACATACTATTTCTTTGATTAAACCAACATTTTTTGTTGTATTGAACTCATCAAAAAATATCCATAAACGTTTGTTCCTTTCAGCCAAAGTACGTGCCATTTTTAAACAACTTTGTATTTTGGAAAGGATTTTTGCTCTATTGATACCAGCATGAATATGAAATACTTCCAAGTTATCGTCCAAAACTTTTTCACACAGAAAGTTTATAAGCGCAGTTTTGCCACAACCTGAAAGAAAATCATTTGCTTTTCATAAGTGGAGAAAACCGATTTTCATCATTAAATATAAATTTAAAGCTTTTCATTTAAAGATAAGTTTCTGCTTTATGTCAGACGTGTTTGACCGCGAAATAAGAAAGAAATTAATTATTCTCCTTCTTTTCAAAATCTGTTTAATGCGAAACTAACCTCGAAGAATTCACACTCAAAGGGGCAAATAATACTAATTAGTTTTAATACTCAACGTAAATTATGAACTTATACAAACTGCGATGCCTAGTGTGAAGTTGATAAAGAAAAAAGTCAACGTGGAAAGGATATCAGGTTGCTTAGTGAGAATGAGACACATTCTGCAGTACGGCTGTTCCACTTCCTATGTTTCTTCCCTCTACACATACATCAAGCGCAAATTCTTTAATGCTTCAGATAACTAAGGACAACAAAGTTTCAGAACTGCAGCCAGATTTAGACTCTGATACTTTGCTCAATAAATAAATATGCACTCAGATAATAGACGCAATTCTTGATTGATTCCAACTGTAACTACTCTAACCTGTTTCTCCCATTATTAATACCGGCAAACGGGAGCTCACACGCAGCCAGATCAGCAACATTTTGATATAATTATCCGGTGTGATCACATATTCTCGCTCAAGGATATTAGCGATCTCTGTTTGGAGTTTTCGAACATCGTTACTGTCAAAGGTTTTTGGCTTAGTTAGACTGTCTTTACATTCTGAACATAAACGCTGTTCGTGCGGAAATTGTCGAAAACATTTTGTGCAGATTGCTTTATTCCAGTACTTTGTTGACAATGATGCAAGCTTATAGAACAATTCAGTATGCGTTAGTTTGGTAAAATCTTTAAAAACATCGTTTGTTGCATTTGAGAACCATGCCGATCTCTTCGATAGTGCATTGAAGTATTGAATAAGTGATTCAGGAACAGCTCTTGGGCTTTTATAAACGAATAAAGGATCACTGGTGGATGTGAATACAACTGTGAATGGTTGTGTTTTATCCCAGCGGATTATGGACTCGCTTAATACTTTTCCAGGATCATAAATATTATCGCCCGAATTTGATTGTCTTTCACGTACTGATTTCACAGATAGCGATGTAAACTGATTAGATGAGGCGATAAATGCTTGTATGATATCCATGCGCAATTTTGGATTATCTAATGCATCAACACGAAAGTAGCCACATTTAGAAAATCCATCGAATAAGCTAGAAAATATTAATGTAAAGATGTTCAACTGAGTCCATGTGAGATATTGTTGATCTTTTTGTTGAATGAAATATTTATTCAAAAGTTCAATACATCTTCTAGAATCCATCACTTTACTCTTGTTAACATCTACATCTTGTTGTTCAATTATTTGTGTTTCGATTGCATCAAGATACTTCGATACAAATTGAATATCAGGGCGGGTATGCAGGAGCTCATTAAAATCAACCTTCGTCAAATTGTGGACTGGTAGGAATCGAAAAATGAAGACAGATTGTTGTAAATTCCAAAACGCTGATGATTCTAATTCGAAAAAGAACACTGTTTGCAGCGGAACATGCACAACTGTTTGTGAAAAGGAACAGCTACGAAATAGGCATAGAGAAAATAAGATTGAATTTAACAAATGAATATTATCGACCGTACCAATGTGAAAATGTACTACCGTTGGTTTGTTGAAATATGTTTGGCTGTGTAGAAGGAGTTGTTGGGCAATATCTTCTGCAATCAAATCGCCAGTGATAGGAAATTTCAGCAACACTCTACTTTCTCTTTCTGCATATTTTGCGACGTGAAAAGATTTACCGAGACCAGTCAATTTCGAAGAAATCAAATGACAATTTTTTACTCTTGTTGAGATGAGTTGTGCTAATGCACCTTCGTTCAACAGCTCCGAGTCACGTACTATTTTGGCGATTTCAGTACGCAACAGACCATTGATCAGATGAGTTTGAATATCTGTTGTTACAATTCCGAGCAAGAACTGGTGATGTGGATAATTTTCATCAAACTCATTAATTAATCGGCAGCACTTATCTTGAATAGGAAATGGCAGCTGTTCTGGTTCTACTAATTCATGTAAAGTTTTCGGCGAACAAAAGCAACGATATAAAAAGGCACGTATCTCCATCCAGTTAGTTTGTTCTGTACAGAATAGTAGTCGATTTGCATTTAAGTTTATATTACCAGCTTCATGAATACACATCAAGGATAGAATTCCGCGATATAGTCCTTCAACAGAAGTTTCAACTACAAAAAGTTTTTTGGATCGAGTGTCATTAGACGTTACATTTTCAAACACTTCTGGCGGCTGCGGATGTATTCGTTGACTGTTCAGTAATTTTCCAAGCACTTCAAGACGTTCTTGGGCCGACAGATTCAAATTTATCGTCGAAATATCTGTTGTTAGATTCTCCAGCCCAATGTATTGTAGTAGATGATAGCCTGGATGCTGTTTATTCAAAGTTCTGTAGTTGATTAAGGCCTCCTCCACTCGCCATATCTGTTGCCCGCAAAGGTATGTCAGGTCATGATATAGCTCATAGGAACTGACTAATTTTTGCTCCCATATTGTTAGTATTTCTTGCAAGAATAAAAGAAATTTGTCTAGTGCTGAGAAGTCACCTTTATTACATGTGAATGTCTGATCTGATTTAGTGTACTGCTCGACACACGGATACCCCATTATATCTAACTCTCGTAAATTTTGTAATACATTTTCGATAACATCCGTCAATACTATCAGAGATTTTAACATTTTTTTCTCCGTTTCTTCATCATATTCTCGTTGCTGTATTCTAATTGCTTTTTTTTCATTCCCAGAATACTCTATTAATCTTGCACGATCACGTAACTCGGTAAGTTCCACGTATGACAACTTTTGACCATTTTCAGTTTGTACAAAAACATCAAATTTAACTGAATGAGAAAAGTTAATTGTTGAATTATTGATGATATGAAAAATTTTGATACGTTTCGATTCTTCTTTATCAGTTAGCTCCAAATACAAACGCTTAATACCAATTAATGACAAAGAACAAGATTGAAAACAATTAACGATATTGGCGAAATCTGAATTTTTCAGTAGCTTATTGACCTGTTGAAAAAACTCATTGATTGACTTTTTCGTTGAGGTTGATGATAATGATGATGACGTTTGTTTGGTTGAGAAATACGTCAGCAGTTGACCAAGGAAGCTTCCTATTGATTGAAACTCAATTATTGTTTGAGGACTTACAGACGATTCGTCCCATTCAGTAATGGCCTCTAACAAGTCGTCAAAATCTGTTCTGTTCAATGTTGCCAGGAACTCGATTAAACCAATGGAAGAGTAGAAATGTGAACTAATAGCTAGAACAGGTTTAGGTTGCTTAGAATAACAGACATTTGAAAATTCTTGATAAGCGACATGACAAGTTTCACATAATGTTTCATCAGTGATCGCTAATATTTTGTCAATTGGTATTGGATTAGTGTCTAGATTGTACAATTGTACAATCTTTTGACATCCTTTGCATACATTTTGAATGAACTTTTGATCTCTCCAATACGCCATGATAGATGGTAAACATCGACGTGCTTCGTCATCGAGAAAAGGTGTTAATAACTGCATTTCTTCTTCAACTCGGTCGATACCATCAAACATCCACATGATCTCGCGAAGTTTAATAGTTTTCCATTCTTTAGAAATCCATTCTAGTTTTCCTTGAAATTGTTTTGCCCGATAACTCATTTCTGTAAGTATATTTGAACATGTATTCATATCTAGTTCTTCTAATTTCAACTCTTCTTCTTCATTAGACACTGGAAATAAAGAAAGCAATCGAGCATATTACTAAAGAAAAAATGCCAAGCTTCATCAAAATGCCATCTTTTAACAGTAAAAGAAATGTGTTTTGAGAGTGAGCTGGTTGGAGAACTCATTTAAGTTTCTGAAATATAGAAAACTTAGTTTTTCTTATTCAACAAAAAACGAATTTTCCACTAATCTCAGTTTCTAACTGATTTTAGTTCTTCAGAAATTGGGATTTTCCAAAAAGTGGAAGGCACAAGTTTTCTTTTGTGTTTCTGTGAAGAATCCGAAACTGAAAGAGAAAAAGGACCAACGTAGATCTCATCCATCGTTTTGTTTTACGGAGTCTAATATATAAAGTGCATGATCCTTTCTTACAGAAAGTTAAATTTACTCTCAAAAATTTCTATATATGCACACACTTCAAGGTCATATTTGTTCTTGAGAATACTTAAGCGATCTACGCTATTGTTGTAACTAAGTAGTTATAACAATAGCCTAGATCAAATCGAGTCAGTACCGAATCGTACTGAATCGTACCGTTTTTCAGAATATATTATTTTTTCTTGATTAGTGTGTCAAAAATCCAAGGGGGAAATAGCAGACTCCAGGAGTTCAGGAATCTTTTGGAATCCTATGGAGTCCCAAGGAGTACCAACTCTTACAGGTCGATACGAGTACCGAGAGCCTCATAAGAATATGAAGAGTTTTCTTTAATTTATGCGAAAATATGTAATGTTGGCATTCTTTAATATCAATAATCACCTAATGAGTGTTTATAAGAATCAAATTTTATAGAATTCGTAAGGTGCAGACAATGCGAATTTTCAGTAAAAAATTTTTTTTTCAAGTTTTTTTACATCATTTGATAGAGTTGGAGGTCACGAAAAACTACTTTTTAGCCTTAGCAAATGCTTCCTTCCGATCGAAAAATACGAAATAGTCGAAAGGTGTCGTTTTCGAGAAAAACACGTTCTTCTTTTTTGCTTCTGAACATAATTTTTCCAGATTCAGCATAAAAAACTGAATATAAGAAAGTTCTTAAATCGACTCTGGACCCCAAACCCTACTGATGGTGGCGTTTCGAATCGCGTCGAGTG